AGCAAATTTTTATTATTTAAAAAACCACTCTCCTGACACTAAACTGAGTTTCTACTACACTAAATACAACTCTCTCACAGTTGAGTTGTTTTGGATTGCTTTAAACTTTATGTCGTTGTGTAAGTACTGGTATAGGCAAGTAATCTGTGTGATTTTAGTTGTGCCTCAACGGGTGGCCTCTAGCTGGTGGTAGTTTAAAAGAGACTGACCTTACAACTTCAGGAAGTGACGAAAAGCTCTGCCACGAATGACTGTTTGACCCAGTGCTCTAGGGTGTTGGTCTCATCAAGGACAACCTCCAGTTAGGTTTAATCTTACTCTAGACTGCTTTTATTTACTTTTAAAGGCCCTGCTCTACTTAAAGGAAACATCTGATAAATCATGACTACGAGACAGGATATTTATAAACTAAGAGACTCTTACTGATGATTATCCTGACCTGCTAGTTGAGGTGACTGAGATGCAGAAAGATGCCAGTATAGTTTCTTAAGACTCCTAATATCAGATAAAGGCCTATCACAGCATCCACCAAGAATATATTATTGAGAAATGTAATAGTTAACAATTTAATAGAGAGTGAAGCAATTTCCCACATAAAAATAATGTAATAGAAATTGGATGCATGTAAACACTTACAAAACAGACTCAAATAAAAAAAAAGGACAGTACCTATAGCATACAGGATGGAAAGGCAGAAGCTACATCATCCCCTAGGCGAGTGCTGGCCTTTCAGAGCAGATCTCCTTCTGAAAGATCTCAGGCATTTCATTTGTGACCATAGCTGTCTCACAAATCTTCCATTATGGGCATTTCACACCACTGTCACTTTCCTCAGATGGCTCAATCTCAGTCAAAATAAAGGACTGAAAAACAAGGTAATGGTCAGGCATTTGGTCTCAGGTAAAGCAGGTCAGATCTTTCAGAGCCTTGACCTGGTTCAACAGACTCTGAAAAGTGAACACCTCCTTGAGTTGCTGATCCTGCTCCGGTATTTAAATGATGTGTACTCCTCAAGTCCCTTCTCAGGTTCCCCTCTACTACATTAATTCTTGTGCACGGAATTAGTTCCTAATCTGTCCAACTCAGTGGCTTCACCCATGGTACTGCTGGCATTTGGCAGAGCAGCAGCGACTCTGCTCTGAAGCAGTTCTGTCCCCGACAGTGGGGTGAAGTGACAAGACTGGGCTGCGCCTGTACTGTCAGAAAGCCAAGAGTCCATACAAGGAAGTAAGTAAATGGAATTTAAAACATCAAAGTAGAATTTGCTTTCTCTGTTCGGCAGTAATATAACATTACTCTGAACATAAACACTTATAAATTCACTACTGGAAAGCAGAGGGTTTTCTCCTCTGTGAGATAAAGGTATTTTATATAACGTGTGTGACAGGTTTGAATTTCCTACATCATCATTAGTAATCTCCGATAGAAATCCCTCTTTTTAGAAACAAGCTAAGTTTGACAAATGTTTTATTAAAAAAAAAAATAGAAACCCACCATATGGTTAATTTCCTCCCAGTGAAGTTTCAAGTTAGAAGACTGAATTCTATTTTACTGCCCACTAAACTAATAGTGTTTTTAGCAAGCTCTAAATTATTCCCTGCCTATTAGGCTTGACTGTTTCCCCCCCCCAAAGAATTCTGTTGTCTTATGGTGTTACATCTTTAGCTACAATAAACAGAAAGCAAACCCCAGCCCTCCCATAAGAGGCCCACATCCACCCCAAATATCAGCCAATGAAAACATTAAGATCTTAAGTAAAAAAAGGACTGATATATTACATTATTAATCTTCTTGTATTAATCTGAAGCCTCTCCCTCAAATTCTTGGCTCCAGTCAAGGGTCATTTTTGTGCAAAAAAGCTTCTGCCACTTACCTTTATATACAAAGTTTTCGCATGGGCAACACGTACCTTATCTCACAGTTAAAGACATTTCACCAAAGTACTTCAAAACAATTTGAGTACTGTTCTGCAAAAGCTATCCCCTATCAGAATATTCAAGACACAGTAGAATCAAACTGTCATGTATTGGGAACTAATACACAGGTGCAGAATACCAAGTCTTTGGTATTTACCATAGGAAAGAGACTGACTTGCAAAGATTTAGTTATTTCATTAACTTTAACAATAACTTGGACTTTCTCTTAGCCAGGATTACTTTACAATTAGGTTCTAACAATGTAGTGTCCCAACAGCAGGTGTTATTGGCTGTGCAAGCCTTACATTAGAAGAACCACAAAACTTAAGGTGGCTTAAGGCAAACCTTAGTATACAGTACATCCATTTCTGACAGAAAATACTGAAATACATGCTGAATGGGAAACTGAAGGGAGAGTTCTCATATAGAGATCTGATGTCAAGCTATCCAGGAGAAGGACTCCCTTTTAACTCATCTAATAGTCTCAAACTTAAGACTCGCATATCTATCAATATCTGTTCCCTCATGGATGTATTGTGTTAACTCTGTCTCATAAGTGTCAACATAATAAACTTTTAAGTTACTGCATGTGGCTCCTTCTTCACAGCCATGTTCTCATTTCCTAGCCCATTTCCCCACACAGCACATCTCCTAGGCCTTGCATAAAGACAGGTCTCAGCACTTCAAACCCTGCTACCAGTAATTAAACAAAACTAAATATTGCACCTTCCAAACTTTGGAGTCCTTACTGAAGGCTGGGGAACCAGAGAACAGCGCTGCTGCCTACGACAAGTTGTCACTGAAAAACTTCTCTGCTGGTCAATACTTACTGTCACATACACTTTGTGACGCTCAGGCTACATGAAGAACCCTGAACAAATAGCAAGCAACACAAAGAGCCAGCAGCTACGTTACTGTCTTGGTTATACTGACAATTACCTCTTTGCTGTCACCTGCGAAGCCACCGGAAGACTCACAATTAGATAACTTGTCTGCACAAATACTCCTGCTCCTGTGAAACTGCAGTTTCTCAAGCCATTTTTACACTTCAGAATGGTGCACTGAAACCACAGCTCCAGATAGAAAATAGAACTTTAATTCTGTACTTTTTCTAGTGTACTCAAAGCTGTATTCTACAAGATCAGGACATCTTCCTTGTAAGTACCACCTCAGATTACACCACTTCTATTTGCTCTTTGTGAATTAACACAGAAAAATAATTCAACAGCCTTTCCTTTTATCCAGCTAGCAGGCAAGGAAAGAAAACCAGAGGCTTCCAAAAGAGTTCAAAATGAAAGAAGAGCTGGCATTAGCAGGCTGCAGAAAGAAACCAATTCTGTTCCTGCATTTCGCTAATAAATGCTACTTTATCAGATTAGGTTTCTTTTAAGAGGAGGCGGGGGGGGGAGGAGGGGGAGAGGGGTGGAATAGTCACACAACCCAGCGATACAGGCTCAGCTCAGAGAGGCAAAGCCTTATTCTAAAGTCTTCCTTTCAAGGAAAAGAATTTCATACACTCAGGCTTCACACCCTTACAGCCAATATACCTATTACATCAGTTCATTGCTGCAGACTGATTGTTCTTCATAAAAACAAGAGTTTCAGCTGAAGTCAGCAAGAAGGACAAGTATTCCAAGCAGTACATCCTGTAAAATTCATGGAGTCACGGGGACCGAGAGTTGCAGTTACACTGGAGTAAACTGCAAAACCTCCAAGTGGCAAGTTATATGAGCAGTAGCAAGTACTACAGGCCGAAATCTGATAAACACATCACGTACATTAGTCATCTTGACAGCTTCTTATACCCACAAGCCTCATGATTTCACTGCACTAGTTCATCAGTTAACACTGACACCATATTTTAACTGTATGCAGCCATTTCATTTTAAGGTAAAGTTTGCTGGCAAGGGATATCGCTTGCCACGAATGACTGAAGAGTTTTCCAGGATTCCAAGTGAGCAAATAGTGCCTGACATTCAAAAATGAACTCAGAGTATCTGTAAAGGAACTTAACAGAACAGCAAGGTAACTATTACAGGCTATTCTCAATGAAATAGAGGAGTATGTAACACCGCAGTGCTTTCTGTATCAAACAAGACATTTCTGTCTTGCAACAGTTTGCTGTTCTGATGCAGATGGTTATAAGAGTACTAATGCAACTAAATTATTTCAAGTGTATTAGTCATCTGCACTTCTCAGACCAAAATGTCCACATGGCAAATACTCAGATCTAAAAGACAAGCACTACGTATAGCTTCTTCCAAGAAGCCAAGAGATTCGAGCCGATCTCCAGTCATCTTTAGCTTCCCACAAGCAAACAGCCCATCACACTCGATGCTACGAAACAAACAGAAGCAGCTACAACTCCAAACTTTGCCTAGGAACCACAAGTCTGTCGCTCTTCAACCCCTGTGCTGATAACACAAGCCTCCACCAATATCAAAATCCTGGATATAAATGCCTGGAACGTCTGGGGTGGGTTTGGGGGGAGTTTGGGTTGGGGGTTTTTTGCCTTTTTTTTTTTTAAGGCGAGGATTCTACCAAGTAAGTGTTTTGCCTTTTATAACCCAGACACTTAAAACAGGAGTTTTCAAGACAGCAGAAAAAACCGCCCGGCGTTATCAGAGCCATCCGAGAGGCGCCTCAGGGCGCACCCCCACGGAGCAGAGAGGGGACGGGGCACGGACAGCAGCGGCTACAGGCACTTTCCTGCACTTTTAACAAGATATTGTTCCCTCAAGTGAGGGAAAAAGACAGACTCCTTCAGCCACCGGGGCGGGGAAGAGCCCTCAGCTCGCCGCTCCGGGACAACTCGTTGCCCCCCAGCAGGGCTGGCCCAGCTCCTTCACCGGCCGGGGCGGGAAGAGCCGAAGGCGGCTTCCAGACAGGAGCCGCAGAGGTCCAGAAAGCCTCCCAAACTTAACCCCTTCCCAGCCCCGGACACCGTTAGCGCCGTGGGAGCCGCTCCGCGACGGCCGGCACACCTGTGGGCCACAGGCCGGGCTCCGCGGCGGCCCAAGCGGTGTCCCGTGAGGGGAGGTGGAGGGGGGGCTGTGAGGAGACGGGCCGGCCGCTGCTACTCACCCGCACCAGGTTGCTGACAGCGGCCTGCACGGCCGAGACGGGGGCGGTGAGGTCGGGGATGGCCTTGCCGTCCACCTCCCCCTCTTCGTGCATGATGACCAGGTGGGAGATCTGCTGGGCCACCGGCTCCAGGATGCTCTCGATGGTGCGCGTGTGGAAGACAGGCATGGCGGCGGCGGGGCGTGGGGGCCGGGGGCCCGAAGTCCGCACAAACTCCTGGCAACTCTTGTCCCCGCGGGCTGGCGCCCCGCTGAGAAAGCCGCGGCCTCCGAGCGAGGAGGGGAAAACGAGGAAGAAAAGAAACGAGCCCTCAGGTCCTGCCCCTCCGCCCCTGGGGAGATCGCAGCAGCCCGCAGAAGAGGCTCCCGGTTCAGGCTCGCGGAGGCGGGACTCGAACTCCCTGCCCTCCTGCCTCCCCCTGGCAGCGCCCACCCCGCACTGGCACCGCTCCTCAGCCAGGCGGCGGCTTTTCAACCACCACAACCTACCCTTCCCGCCGCCGCCCGCCCCCTCTCCCGCCCTCGCCCAATAGCCGCGCCGCCTCCCTCGCTCCCAGTGGCGCAATGCCGCGTCCATCAACATTCCAGAGCGCCCCCCCGGCCTTTCCCGCACCGCCCGCCTTCCCAACCAAGCTGGGTTGCGCGGGCGCTGGTTTCCCAGCGTTGGGATGACGTCAGACGTTCTGGTGTCCATATAAGGAGAGGATTAAAGCCGGCGGCTGGGACAGCGGCCGGGGATGAGGGACGAGGGCGGGCAGCGGCAGCGGGAGGGGATCCCTGCGCCCCGCCCCGAGTTGTGTCCGTCGGGCTGAGGCGCGGCCACCCGGCTGGGTGCGTGTGGGGGTTCGCTAGAAGGGGTTGGCCGAGGGGAAGGGGTGCCCTTCATCCCCATTCCCCCGCCGCCGTTTAACGTGAGGAGCTCTCCTCAGGCCGTCCGTCCCTCCTTCCGCCTCACACAGATACGGCCTTCCCCACAGAGCGCCCGCAGACCGGCGCGCCCCGGGCGGGGTCCCCACCGCTTCCGCCCCACCGGGAGGAGAAGTAGTGGGAGGCGGCGGAGGCCGCTTCCCTCCCGAGGTGGGGAGGGCCCCCCCCACACCCCCCCTCCGCTTCTCTGAGGCGGAGGGGTGTCCCCCCGCTTCTCTGAGGCGGGGAGGGCGCCCCCCTCCATTTTCTGAGGCGGGAGGGGTCGCGGCGGGACGCCCCGGGATGTCGCCGGGCAGGGGGAGAGGGAGTCGTTTTTTACCGTTACCCTGTGGTGATGGGGGGGGGCGTTAAAATACACTTATACGTGGGGTTTGCGGGAAGGAACGCGAGCCGTGGGCAGGGAGTCACGCAAATTCCCGCTCCCCCGCAGCGCTGGGTCACGGCTGGCGGGGGTGAGGCGAGGCGCAGCCCGGCAGGGCCCGCTCCCTCCGGGCGAGGGGCGACAGGGTTATTCTTTACTTCATCTTTTCTCGGATGACACCGGCACAGAACTAAGCTTGCGAAATGATTACTGGCTTTTAGGTATTTTTGTCCCGGCGCTGCTATTTTAAGCTATAAATTCGACGTTCCCCCTCAGAGTGGCTTTCCCTCCCGAGCGTTGCGCAGCGAACAGCACGCTTCCTGCACAGTGTTTGAGCGCAGCCGTTCCTGCCGACAGACACAGGGGTAGAGAGAAAGAGCAATTAAGTCAGTAAGGCTTCTGGTCTTTATAACTTCATGCACCAGAGCTGTCACTGTTGGAGCTACAAGTTGTAGGCCTGAAGAGATTAAAAACCCCAGATTTTTTGCAGGGTTAGAAATCTTAGCATTTCTGATTTTTTTTTATTTTTTTTTTGCTCTCTTTTCTTTTAGGATGCTGGAAATTGTGTTTACGTGTGTGTACTTATTGACTCTGCAGTGGCAGAAGTCAGACAACTAACTTCCATCTTGTACCATCCAGTTTTCTTTGGAAAGAGGTATACCTGTAGGCTTGATAACAGCTAATCAAATTATGCTACTGGCATTCAAAACATACTTAAAATATCGGCATCTCAGCAGTAATGAGTATATTAAGTCACTCGAACTATGCACCGTAGAGTATTTAATGGATTTAGCTATTGGCTATATAGCATTGTACTTCTCATTTCTAGTATATTCAGTCCCAACAGTGCCTCTTTAGCATACTATGGATCAGTAATAACGCACACACATAAAAATCCTTCTGGATACTAATGTGCAGCAGCTGGGAATTACAAAAAGCAATTAGTCCATGTTATGAACTAATAATCTGCTAAATTCCATTTGGTAGAAGTGTGCAAACCTAATAAACCACGTATTTCGTCAGTTGTGGGACTTGCACATAAGCTCTCTGATTAAAAATAATTGCTTTAAGTCTGGGACCTTGTATAATGAGTTCAGGTTGAGATACGTATATGCAGGCATATGTTTTTAAGAAAGTGTTATTATAAAAGGCTGTCTTGGTGGCTCTAATAAGTATAGTTACTCCTGTCAAAATAAAATACAGAACAGATGGACGTTTTTGGTAGCCTTCTGAAACTTTACTTATCTACAGAGCTAAAATATGTGTGTTTGCATTTGGGGGATGTTGGTATTAAGAGTTTGCTTCACAATTTGGGTTACATTCATGTAATTTTTGCCCATGCAAAAATCAATTTTTATTGTCTGTACTGCAGACCCATCACTGAAGTTCCCTCCCTGCTGTCGCTGTGGCTACCTAACTTCTGAAGCCACATTCAGCAAAATTCCGTGCAATTAACAGCAATACATGTAGCACTGCTTTTTGTTTGTTTGTTTTTTCAAGTGCCACCTTTACAGTGTTTTCTCTTTTCTTTACAGTATTCAGGTCTGTCACATGGATGTCATACCAATAACAGCTTTGCAGCAGGTACTTTTTTTAAAACAAATCAGTTTCTTTTGCCCAGTGCACTATTCAGTCTGTAGTTATACAGTAATTATGCTGCTACTGTGAGATCGCTTCTACAGTTTATTAACTCCCTGGGTCCTAACAGATGGTGAGAAAGTAACAATAGATTTCATGGCGGTATCTTCCGTTTATTGAGCCCAAGGTGGAAATATGTGAATTCTTTTGTCCTCTTCCAGTATGGTATTACACAGGCAACAATGAAGTCCCCAATGAGGAAAAAAATGCTGACCTCCTTTTCTTTCCTCACACTCAAAATTTTAGTATTGTTAAGAAGCAGTATCTATTATTAGCACTACAGTGGTGACTAGCGTCTCAAGTAAGTTAAAGTGGTTAGAATGAAAGGATTAGCTTTAAGACGCCCTTTCTGTGTCTTTCACTATTTCATAAGAACTCAGGTGAGTGCAGTTAACCTCAGTTCTGCAAAGAACTTGACAGCAGTTTAGTTCTGGGTCTTGTCTGGCAGTTCTAGGAACTGCAGCAAGACCAACACGAGGATTTTTCTACACTGACTCATCACCAGTGACGATCTGAGCTAGATGCTAGCAAGAGTTTTTTATGCTGCTTGGTTCCTAGCTGCCCTTCTATAGGTGTGCTGTGTTGCTAAAACATAGAGGAGCTTAGATCTGCAGAGAATGCTGCATTGCATGGTCTTTGTGTATTCCCTTAAAAATGGAATGGTCGATTTAAATCGGTCTTGTTGACCAATTTAAGCTTCTCTGTTTTACTTTGCACTGAAATGGTCAGATACCTCAGCTGAGATACATACAGTAAGTTTTCAAATTTTTTTCATCTCCCTTGCAAGAACACATCTTGATACTCAGTCAATTCTTGATTAAGTATTTTGCATGTAATTATCTTTAATTCATTTTCAAGGACCCCTGTATCTAAATCAGCCCATAAGATGGCCCACACAATGCTTGCATGTTTGTGGCTACATGTTTATCAGCAACTGTTTCAGGTCTGCAGGTTTGTTTTTTTTCCCCCACATATTAGGTGCTTGTATGTATCATCTCCTTTCCTACTAGTTTCTCCTACTGGATTTGATTTACCAAAGTATTAAAGCATGTGTGTATTGGTAAGAGTAAGATTAGTCTGGAATTTTAAGTGTTTTGCTAGTTTGGAGTCTCATAAATTATTTATATCCCTACTGCAGAATGAACAGGCTCAGGGGTTTCTGTAATTTTGTGTACATTCCAATTCACTACAAAGTCAAAACCTTTGGACTGGCCAAGACCTGGAAAAGCCACTGGCTAAAATTAAATAATGCTATATTTAGAAATAATGAACTCTTTGAATATATGCATGTATGTAATTGCTTTTTTACTGGTTAGGCTTGAAGATCTTTAACTCTTTCATGGATTCTTTATGGCTTAAATAATTGTCTTATTTCGCATGCATACTAAAGATTTGTGACTTAGTATTACCAAGTACAGTAGTTTACTGCTATCAGCAAGTACTAAATGGCTAAATTATGCAATACTTAAGAAATTACTAGGTAGCACCAAATTTCTGTATATATGTACATTTCTGTATATATGTATACTCTTTCCATATACAACGGAAATAAGAATCCACAGAATAAATCACACTGACATACTTTTGAGTTTCTTATCTGTGCCATATTCATTAGTTCATCTTGTCCCATATGTACCATACCTCAGAGGAGCTTCAAGTAATTACAATAAAGAAAGAAAATTAACCTAATACAAAAATACTTCCTTCTTCCTGCCCTGAGATCCTCAACCAACAGTTATGTTCACATAATTGGACTCTGGATTGCAGAAAATTCAGTAGGACTTACTGTAAGATTGCTCTGTGAATGTAAACATTTTGTTTTCTGTTCCTCATAAAAAAGCAGTGGTGTCACGGAGAGGACAGTGTGTATTCAGCACTGTGGCACTTGTAGGTTTGAAGATCATTAGGAATGTAATGAGTGAGTTGCAAAGGGAAGAACCCAGAATTACCTTGATCCAGGCTACATTTCTGGGCTTAAAAAAACTGTCCTTGTGATGTGTTATGTTTGGATTTGTTTCAGAATATTTTTTAAGTGTGCTGAAAACATGATCATCTTTCTCTTCATCTCCTCTATAGTTAGATTCATAGCTATTAAGAATTAAGTTGTGAATCTCTTACACATGGAAAAGATCCCTGCTTTGCCTTACTTTTCTGTAGGAGTCAAGTGTTAGTAGATTGGATTTTTGCCCTCTTGCACAGATGAGGCTACCCATGTGAGTATTAAGAGATAGGAATGTGAGGTTCATAAACTCTGTCCTGAAGGAGCTTGGCTGTAAACTATTAGTTCTGTTGAAATACTTTAAAAATACTTTGAGTTGAAATACTTTAAAATCATTCCTTTAAATACTTTAAATATACTTTAATCTCTTTAAATGAGATTAATAATACTCTTCATGAAATACTTCAAAATCATTGTTTAAGGTATGACATTGCATATGATAGCAAGTATTCATTCCACCGACCAAAAAATAACACTTGAGTAACAAAAATTTTAAAATTTTTTAAAAC